TTGGTAACTGGGTGGTAGAATTACCTGTGATGGGGATGGCTCCAGAAGGAATAAGTTTAGAGGGGGAGGGGTTAAAAGAGTGAATAAAAACTCTGAATCCAGTACCGATGGCCTAGTCTTACCCACTACACTATAAAACAAGGAAGGACTTTCAATGGAGGTAGATGCTAGCTGGTAAGTTACAGCAGACACAGCTTTCACCTGGAACACGTGACACACATTTAGGGTATGTGAGCAGCATTTTCTTAAAAACCTACTGATAACATCATGGCTTCATCTGCAAACAATCTTAGAGTGTACTCTTGAAAGCTGAGCTGTGACCAAGCAACGGAAATATTGTGCTGTCAGAAAAGTCATGATGTGTTTTTCCTATGTTTTTCATTGCAAAAATGCGTCACGACTTTTCCGACAACCCAATATATTAAGAGAAAGACTGAAAAGGGCCAGCTGAGTGGTGCGATGGTTAAGAACTGGCTTGGGATGCCAGAGGACCCCAGTTCGGATCCCACATATGAGGGCCAGTGACACTGCCCTCCACAGCTAAGATGCTGAACAACAGCTCAACCTGGAGCTGGGCTGCCATGAGTCACCGGCGATGGCATGGGCTGCAGCCCCTGTGGCAGTGGGTTGCCATGGGCTACCGTGTGTAGCCAGCAGCCAGCGTGAGTGGCCAGCAGCCGCAGTGAGTGGCCGTCCAGAAGCCGGCGACTGATCTGCCTCGCCTGGGAAGAGCGCAGTGATGGTGCCAACTTGGACCAGTGAAGCGACGTCCTCCACAACTAGACTGAAGAACAAAACGACAGCAACTTGTCTGTTCCCCTTCCCCCAGTTCTCCAGCGCTGTTCCTATTCCCCCCAATTCCCCAATAAAAATCTTTAAAAAAAAAAAAAAAGAGAAAGACTGAAAATAGTGGAGTAGTTTCGGGTCTAAGGTTTAAGATTGGGAGGGCTGTTTCTAACTTACAAAGGCAACAAAGGCAGAGGGGCCTCTAGATCTGGGATGTGGGTTCCATTGATAACATGTCCCCCAATACACATACACAGTGCAGAAAGAATTTTACACCTTTCTTTGACAGTAAGCTTAAAAACAGGTTTTACATGAGACATTAGTATCCTCAGTACTCACTGTAAGCTTCAGGCTCCATTCTCCCAATGACAATCCGACATCTCCATTTGGCTGTCTCATAGAGTTTCTATTCACTCTTTCAACTCCTGTCTCTCTATCCCTATTCTTTCGGAGTCACCCCATCTCAGGTAATGTACCACCCAGTTATCATCCAAATTTAGGAGTCATCCTTCATCTCTTTCTTTTTGTCAGTCCCCATATCCAAACTTTCAGGAAGTCCTAAACACTATGGTATTTCCAAAATAAGCCCCTTACCTCTCCAGTTTTCGCCACCACCATCATTTCTTCCCTTCTACTCCCCAGTTCCTCTCTGTACTCTTGCAATATATTCTGTACACAATAGCCAAAATGATATTTAAAAAAAAATTTCACCAATTAGATCATGTCACCTCCCTGCTTTAAATTTTCCAAAGTTATTGCACTGAATCCAACTCTGCATCTTCTATTACAAATCACCCTAAATATCAAGATGTCGATAGATCTGAATTGAAGCTCTAGTTTGTACATGGAGCATTTACATTCTTTAATGATGTCTTTTTACGTATCACAAGTTATTAACAAAGGAAAGTGAGAGTTATGCTCTATAATCATAATTTATGGTTACAAAATACGTCCCATGTGCCAGGTCCTTTGTTGATGTGCTGCATGTGTTACCTCATTAATTGTTACCCTGTATTAATCATTAAAATTTTTTTTTTCTGTATTTCAAGATGCTTGGACATCTTGCAGGTTTACTAATTTTGGAGAGACTGCACTCTCAGAGTTTGCTAATTCCTAGAGATAGCAAACATCTTGCCCTCCGCCCCTCTTTCATATGCAAACCAACCAACATCCCCAACCACCTCCTTTATCCAACTATCATGCACCAGCACACCAATATGTTCCCTGCCCTAACTCACTACAGGGCCAGGTACTGGACAACTAGAGACGACCCCTATAGCCTAGAGCCTGTCACAATTCCTCAAACACGCCAATGCCAAACTTGCTCAAGCTTGTCTACCCTGCCTCACCCATTTCTTCTCGTGGAAACCACAATAAAAGTTCTGAGCCTGGCTTCCCCTGGCTGGTTCGGCTTCCTGACTCACCCTGGTGCTTCCCCATGTGGCTCTGCACGGCATTATATGCACCTCATTCTTGGGAATGCTAAGAAATAACTTCTTCCAAGGCAGTTGTCTCCATGTCTGTCATCTTACCAAATCTTAAAACAAAATCTTGGGGACATTTCAAGACACCCTCAAGCCCTATGAGAAAGGTGAGATAGATATTCTAAGTTAACATGCACACAGGTGAAGGGGTGAGGAGTCAGTCTGAAGAGACAATCCAACTTCAGAACAAACACCCTCAGACAGAACTCTAATTTGTCCTCATAGAATCTGTCTTAATATGTGTTGTCATATATCAAAGAGGGGTTTAACTGGGATGGCGGAGAGGGTGTGTCCCTATCATGGTATTCAGCTAAGCATTTCATAGAAACCTCCTGATATAAACTATTATACTTTGTTCATGGTGAACCTCACCCCTTTTTCTCTTTCCCATTTCAATTTGGTTTGGCTTTTTAGTCTAGAAATGGATATACTGATGTCTCATAAGGCCTTAAAGATGAATGAAATCTCCCCGACAAAATTGTAGACTTAGATTAACATAAAGATCAGACTTCTGCAGTTATTTCCCTGATTCACTAGCCCATTTTCTCACTCACAAATATTGAACTAGGAAACCAGCTTACCAGAGAGAATAGACACAAAACCCTGTTCTATAGGACTCCAGATATGTATAGTTGAAGGAAGCCAGCCCTGCAAAAAATGGATACTTGATTTATTCCTTCTTCAAAGGCAGGATTTAGTACATAGTATTAGGACTGTATAACACCTCCCTTTAACCGACTGCTCCCTCTCTTCTTTTTCTGGCTGAGCCCTTCTTGTCTCACTTGGAATCTCATGCTCTGTCCTTTCTTTTCTTCCCTAATAACTCCATCAGAAGCAATCCTTCACGAGCTGATTCAGCATTGAGCAAGTTGTCTCCATTCGCATCTCTTCAGAAACACTAGAACCAACAGGTCCATGAGGAGGGAATGTTATCTGAGTATCCTACAACCAAGTGGCAGGAATCACAGTCTGACCCAACCTTACTGCTATCACCACCAGTGTTCAAGATACAAAACGCTGTAACTGAAGAAAATCATAAGTACAGTCTCATGTTCTCGGCTTTACACAGGTTACAGCACTGACAAAGCCTTTCCAGTCTTGTAATAATTGACAAGCGCATCTCAGAGTTTTGAGGATTAGGTGCGATGTGTGTACAGAAAATCCAGGGCCACTCAAATCTTTCGGAAAGATGTGTGTCATTAAAATCCAAAATAAGTGGTTTGGCTTCTCTCTCAGCTCTCAGTCTCCCCTCTCAGCTTCATTACTCCTCTCAGCCCTATAGCCCAGGAGCTCAAGATGAGTGTTTGGCCCCACTCCTGCTTGTATTCATATCTGCTTTGTGGAAAGGAACCGGTACGTGTTTTTCCACTATAACAAAACATACGGCAAGACTAGTGACAAGTATTCTTTTTTCCTGAGGTGTGATGCTCTATTTAAAAACTTTAGATCTCAAACAGTATGTGGGCTACCATTTTACAAGAACGGATGGGCAATATTTATTTGTGCTCAGCCCCTCATAAATGTGACCAGATAGCACACCTTTGTATCATTCAGCAACAGAAGTGATAAATGGTAAAAGTTTAAAGCTTATTTTTGCATTAAATTTCATTGTAACTATTTGAGAAAGAATACAGTAAAACAAATGTACATCAGAACCATTAAATGATGATACAACCATTAAATCATGATATGCAATAAGGGGCGGCTTCTGCGGGACTGGGGAACAGAAAAAAGGCTTTTGACAGGCCCCAGAGAAGCCTAGACTCTGGAGTTAAGAACTGAAAGAAGTTAAGCTGAGCCGAAAACAGATAGGCTGGCCTCAATCAGTAAGTCTCCTCCCAATGCCATTCCAGTGCCACTTCATGTTGTGACTATAAAGCCACAGATGGATTTTATGAAAATCAGTCCTAATACTTTTTAGGATCCCTCCCTCCNTCTCTCTCTCTCTCTCTCTCTCTCTCTCTCTCTCTCTCTCTCTGGCAAATCTTAATTTCTTCTTCCTTCACAACAGGCAAAATAGTTGTGCTCCTACTCCATGCAAGAGCTGGGGGGAGGAGGGAGGGAGGGAGAGGGAGAGAGAGAGAATAAAGCTGTGCCCTGGGGTGGGACTGCAGACTGGCCAGGTGGAGCAGGGTTGGGCCAGTGGTGGACTTGCACATCGGTTCAGCTACCTGGCTTGTGAAACGTAGTTCAGATCTCCAGGGCGGGGTTTGGCAACTTCTGCTCGGCACCCAGGGCGGGAAGGTGCGAGCGTCTCTTTGCTGCTTCCCTCAACAACCCCTCTCCCGCCCTCCCCTCCTCTCCCCAGCCCTCCACTCCCACCCGCCTGCAAACAGGGGAACCGCCGGGAGGGCGCAGCATTCTCTCGCTGGCTCCGAGGGTCCGGGAGACTCGAGCCGGGTGAGGTTCCCGCCTCACCCGCGATGGTGTGAAGGCGGGCGCCCGCCCACGCCCCACGCCCGCCCGCGGGGATGAACGCTCAGTCCGCCCGCTCGCGCGGCGCGGGCACCGGAGAAAGTGGCGGTCAGTGATGGAGCTGCTGCCATGACAACCCCGGCGGTCGCGGCCCGCGCGCGTCAGGGCTGCTCCCCAGAGGAAGGCGGCGCGGAGGCCGGGGGCGGCCGCTGAGAGCGGCGTCCGCGCGTCCCCGCGTCCGGTGCCGCGTCCCCGGAGGAGGCGGGGGCGCGGTACGCCCAGCTCCCGTGCGCCCCGAGCCTGCGCCGGGCGGCGCTCCGCGGGCTGGGAGCGCGGGCCGGGCTGGCCGGCAGTCGCCGCCCGGGCTGCGGTGGAGGACAGCCACGGCGCCGGAGGATCCTCGCGCTGCGCCGGCCGCCGGTCCCCGCGGTGGAACTTTTTACCGCCTTTGGGTTCCAGATTCGAGACTTGGGCTGTTTATAAATATATCTATACATATGTGTGAGCTAATAAAACATTTTCTCCTCTCCTTGAAGCAGCAGCTTTTTATGACATCTCCTTTATGTCAGACACTTGCCTGGCTTCTCCGGGTTATAAACTTTTGATGCCAGACCTCTGCAGAACGTGCCCAACTGAATCTTAAAGTAGCATCTTGAAGAGAGAGGCAGAACAAGAGCAATCTGTGACCTTCATCCCTGCACCTTCCTTCTTCCTCTCCCTTCCAGGCTGCCTCCCTCCTCTCCAGGGGAGCGTCAAGAAAGCTCTTTTTGGATGCAGGAGGGGCATCTGGTTCTGCCAGGTTGGAAAGCTGAGGCAGGATTTGAGGAAGAATCATTAGACTCCGGAGAGCCTGGACTCGTTTCTTCTCCCTCTCTGCTTCTGGCTTACTCCATCCCTTCCTCTCTCCCCACACCACTTCCTGAGACCCGCTCGTGTGTGGGGCGGGGGACAAGGACCGTGCCGCTGCCCGCGCTCTGGGAAGTTGTGGCTGTCGAGGATGGGGGTCTGTGGGTACCTGCTCCTGCCCTGGAAGTGCCTCGTGGTCGTGTCGCTCAGGCTGCTGTTCCTTGTACCCACAGGAGTGCCCGTGCGCAGCGGAGATGCCACCTTCCCCAAAGCTATGGACAACGTGACGGTACGACAGGGGGAGAGCGCCACCCTCAGGTAGGGAGCTGTCTTCAGCGGGGGACTGAGTCCCTCCTAATTGATTATGTGGGTAGGGGCAAGCAAGAGAGAGAACAGAAGGCTTGTGTAGGGGATTGGAGCATGTGACAGGGCCTTTGCTGGCTCTAGAGGTGCCTGCCCCCTTGCATACTGTGGCAGCTGGCACCCCTTCTCCTGGACATGTGTCATTTTCTCCTGTTTCTCTGGTCCAGGATCTTATAAGTGAACACTGAGGTCCATGATCGGGACTCCCTGTAGCTGTGAGTCCGTGACATGGCTAGATTCACTTTTGACTTGGCACCAAGTTGAGAACATGAGAGCCCCAGAATTGGAATCCTAAGGGGTTAGTCTAAGATGGCTGGGTGCCTTGGTGGCTCCCTCACGGACCAGAAGGTATGTGATGAGGCAGGAAAATGCTCGGGATGGGCTGACTTGCCCCTTTCAGAGAGATACCTAAAATTCCAGGCTCTGGAATTGCTAGTGCTGGGCTGTGGCCCTTTACGAGTCTGCTCAAGATGCAACCATCCATGTCAACCCTCTGTGGTGCTCCTGGGGCCCTATTATAAATTATGAGGGCAGTTTTATCTTTGCAGGCTCAGGCCAAGGAGAGGAAACATGTAGCCTTTATGCAACGACATCACTCCTGTGCGAAAAGCACAATAGGAGTGCTTTTTGTTTTACCTTAATGAGTTACAGAGAATCACTTACTCCAGGCAGAGGGGTGGAGATTCTCGGAATATGAACCTTTGGGACTGGACCTGCTGCAGCAGAGACTTTAATAAAAATGCAGCCACCACTTTCCACCAGCTCAGCAGATATCATCTTTTATCCCTTTAATGAGGCAGTTCTGGTCCTAAGAGACAGATTCAGGGACGTCCCAGCTTAACTCAGGCTCACAATGTACACAGGGTGAATGTGTTTGCCCTGTCTATGACTTTGATGGTTCTGGTGAAAAGAAAACATTCTGCCTCAGATTCTGCAGCCAAATACCCTGGCTTCCCCAAGGAATAAAGGAGGGTGGGATGTCCTTTCTGCTCTTCTCTTGGCTCTGCTGTTTGAACTCTCTCTGCATCTAGACAAGCCTCTCCCTGAGGAAGGAAAGAAAGGCGTCTTGGGACACCCACTGTCCTTTCTTAAGCCCAAGGGCTTAGGTTGGAGTCCTGTCACTTTGGGTGGTTCTCAGCTGAATCGTCTTTTGAATGAGAGAACAGGTCCCCCAACCCTGTCTGGTGGTGCTCAGGGGCCCTAGGAGGAAAGAGGAAAAAGAGGATAGAGAGAGAACTACTTCCCTGATAGCAGGAGGGAGACCCTTCTGGCCACGGGGGCATCCCTCAGCCTGTCCCAGAGTACAGTGTGATATGCCTACTTCCATTGCTTCAAAGAAGTTTTGGGAGTCCCCTCCCTGAGAATGACTCGTGAGTTGCACAGTGGACCAGTCAGCTCAAAGACATGAGTAGCACCCAGTCTAGGAGTAGCACCCAGGCTACAATGCACGTTTACCAAGGAAATTCTAGTAAATGTTGGTAGGTGTGAAGGGGTGCTGACGCTAGCGTGTACCTCTCTTTAGCTTCTAATTTCCTGCTAGGTGCAGAGAGGCCCAGCATTTAATAAAGCTTCAGTGCTGAACTTTCCAAGACCCTCTGTCCTCTTTCTGCCCCTAAAAGTTAAAACAGAAACAAAAACTTGTTTTCCAGGATGCAATGAGACCATTCCACCAGTAGAGGGCCAGCTTCAATCTACTTTTTTTAAATTTTATTTTATTTATTTATTTTTTTATTAGCTGCTGGCCTGTTTTCATGATCTTCAATTCTAATGTTTAGCAGCTGGGCTTGGTAATGGGAATGGGAGGGAAAAAAAGGAAAAGCTGAATAGTGGCTTTTTGGGCTTTGTGGAGAGGAAAAAAACCTTGTATGTTCAAGTATGACTGTTATCTGTTACCTGATTGTATGCTTTAGTTTTTGAAAAAGTAAGCACATGCCTTATGTTGATTTTGCCTCTCCTCTTCTGTATAATTTGCCCTGCAATAGAGGAATTCAGCACATGGTCCACATTTTAGTCTCTTTATATCCCTTTTCTTTTACCTCTTATATTCTTCTTTTATTATTTTCTTCCTTCATTTTTATCAGATGCCTCCATTTTATACACTTTTGCCTATTATTCACTCTCCCCACCCTCTCTCTCTCCTTCATCACTTAATTTTTATTATTCCCTGATATTTTAAGGTTCCAATTTCACTTCTAGCACAATGTTTCTTAAAATAATTTAACTATCTCTGAAGACGTCTGGAGGTCCCAATCTCTCCTCTTTTGTTTTCCATGCTCCTTTGCTTTATTGGCTAATTGCTGTGTTCCCATCTCAATGCAAACTGTATTTGTTGGTACCATGCTTCCAGTCTGGAAGTTCATATCCTCAACCCCAGATAAACATGCCATGTTTTATTTTGTATTGTGTTTTTCCTTTTTGAAAAATGTAATTCTTAAGTATAGTCACTCTTTAGTTCTCCTTACAGATATTCCACTGGGAATTTATAGTGTTCTGAATGCCTCAAATATTCAGAATGCTTGAAAAATTTGAACGATTTGAAAAATTTGAATGACCCTTCAGTCACAGGAAGTCTTTTCAAATGTGACTCTCCTGGATCAAAGTATCCCATGCCTGTGTCTAAATATTGAATGAAGTCACATTGGAGACCAAAGACAGAGTAGGAAAAGCAAAGGAACGGAGAGAGATGGGTCCTCCTTTGAACTTCCCAGTGAGAAATTGCTCTGCTTAGAGCAGGGTGATTTCCTTCCTTGGAGGTATCAGTTTTCATGTGATAGGTCTTTGATTGCATTGAGGGATGTTAGGAAATGATGTTCCAAAGACGACACTGAAGTTTTGAACGTGCATGAAACTCATTTTATATAAGTGAGGCAATGTTATCTTCCTCATAACTGCTTCACAGGGTTACTTGAAGAGTGAAAATAATTATTTGAATATTGAGTTATTTTGCCATCTTGGAAGAGAGAGGCTATGAAAAATGAAGGTTGTATTCACTATGGCTAAATTATAGCTTTTATGAATCTGATTTGAATTCATTATTACAAATGGGCCCTCTTGGCCAGAATCGTTTCATTACAATTATCCGCTGTTGGGTTAAAAATGTTCTGTGCCTTTCCATTAGATTAGATATGACAAGTCTCTAGAAGTCCTGTGTCTGAATCAGTGCCCACGTCAGAAAAGGAGCCTATGATACTTAGTGTTGTCAGCTGGTGTCGATGAAGCCATTTCAGTTGCACGGATGATGGCCAGATGTGCTTTCTTCATGGGCCTCAATCTTCTTTAAATTGGCTTTAGTTCCTCACTGGGACCACATCATGAACATTTTGAGGCAGTGCAGTAAAATGAAGGTGGGAGTTGTTGCTCGCAGTACCTGTTCCACCAAATGGGAAAAGTCCCCACTGACATACAGGTTCTTTTTTCACATGTGGCAGGATAATCAGTGTTGCTGATCCAGGCTTGCTGATCTGGGATTATGCTTAATAACTCCTTTCTAAAATATCCCTGCATTTTCATTTGGAGTTCTGAGCTAATCCTTTTGGAACCAAGTATTTGAGGGTCACCTACTGCCAAGGAGGAATCTGAGCAGCAGAATTTTGCCGAAGCAGTGGGGCAGTCAAGTTCCCAATGACAATGTTTCGTTGTCTGCCTGGGTGTTTCTCTGTATTTTGCACTCACGATCAGCTGCTTTTCTTTTTGTGTAAATTAGAAAATTCAGAGTACCACTAGGTTATTCAAAACAAGAACATGGTTTTGCGTTTCAGTGTATAAGATGCCAAAGCTGAATCAGGACTAGGATAAGTCAAAGGCTTGGCTCTTGGCCTGGGAAATTGAAGACACTGAAGCAGAACAGGTCCACAAGGGGCCCCTCCAGTGGTGCTGATGACCTGGCCGCACATTTGCATTATCTGGAATACTTTTCAAAAATTCCACCTCCAGGCTCCCAGCCAATGGAGTAAAAATCTCTGGAGTCAGGCATAGGTGTGGGCATTTAAAAAAATCTCTTTCAGAATTTCTAATGGGGAGGCAGAGTTGAGACCCACTGTTCTAAAGCCCTTTCCTGCCCCAGAGCATCTGAGCAAGGCTGGTCTCCAGCGATCCTAACCCTGTGTGTCTCCTCCATCCCTCCATTCAAAGGCTGCCTTGGCACTCTAGAAAGAGCACTGTGCTCAGGGCCCTGAATACCTGTGTTCGGTTCTCATTTGACCACTAATTAACTACATGATTTTGAGCACTTCAGTTCAATTGTGTACACGTGGGAGAAATCTCTGCCTCGTCTATGCCATCGAGTGAGATGAAGTATAATGGTGTTAACTATAAAACAACATATATGTGCAACTTGTTACTGGTGCTACATGGAGCTCTTCAATAACAACCTCTAATATGATCAGTCTTTTCCAGTTTCATCTGCTCTGCCTTCAGCCCCTTCTACATCCACACACATACACACCTTTAAAAATATACTCCTTTCCTCCCATTTCCACTCAGCATCCTGCTTTCAGTTTGTAGTAAAAAATTACCCTCATCTGAATTCCAGTAATGCTTGCAATAGATCTCTGTTCTAACATATACACACTGTGGACCTGCCACTTAGGTGTGGTTATGGTTTGACTGTGAGCTCCTGATAGTTAGGAACCACGTCTTATGAACTGAGTACAGATACAGTGATAGATGCAAGGATGAAAATACTAAGTACTTGTTGAATGCTTTAATCCGTCTTAACCAGACTCAATCTCTTATAAAGTATTATTACCTCTACAGCAATGAAGCACTTATGTTTAAAGGGTTTCATTCTCTTCACAATATGATGCTGGGACATTCAAGCACAGCAGTTGGTTAGAGATCTTGGAAACCTGAGGGATTCTGCTTAAAGCAGTTGCCAGAGGGGACAGTTGCATGCACCATTGGTTGCAATCTGATGTGAAACTATACAAAAGGCTTCACTACCCCTGAGGGCAAGA